TTATCATGTAACGTTACAGTTAGCTAACTTACCGTGGCATAAATAGCAGGATGGTGCACCTTCAAGTGCCTCTTCAGGTTGGTCGTATTCTTCCCAACTAATTTGAAGCCACATGGCGTCTCTCCTTCTCCCGCAGTAACAGTGCAGTGTGTTTTACTTTCTACCGAATTATAAATAAAGTGTGTCCATATATCTAGTCTTTTTTTCCGACCAAAAACTAAAAGCACTGTCGCTGAATCCGTCATCTTGTTATTTTCTCACTGTTTGGACATCATCACCACCTGCTGCAGCTGGGGTGGGGGTGAGTGACGTGTGCAGATTCCCAGAATCCCAAATAATTCAACCAATGACAGGGATGCATTTTGAAAGACAAGACGGACAATTGGGGGAAAATAATATCCTGCATTTTTAATGTCCGATAGTCCACCCTTAACACCTTCGTCTCGTCTCGTCAACGAAAACTAAATTTACATTTCGTCATAGTTTTCGTTATCAAGAAAGTCATCGTCTCGTCTTAGTCATGTAAAAAATGTTGTTGACGAACATTTTTCGTCATAGTTTTCGTTGACGAAATTAACACTGGTCTAAATGAGCCCTGAGCGAAGAAATGCTAACGCACTTAGCACAGAACTCTAGGTATAAATCGATCGATATACTTATCGGATCTGCACAAACAAGCTTTGCTAGCAAGCTGAGATTCCACAGATTCTAGAAATATAAGTATCATCAGAACTCGCGACAGGGGAAGCAAAAGCAGAGAACACACGACGTAGCTTTAGGTAGCAAAAAACTGAGATATGCTCACCTTTTGCTGTTATTCTGATCAAAAGTTGTGTTCAATAGCATTTAAACGAGAAAAACTCGGCTGAAGGTTAATCCATAGGTTAATCCAATGTGTCTGTCACTTTGAAAAAATTATTGATAATCCATAATTCCATTTTTATGTCAATTTCTTTTTCATATTAGCTGCTAATGATAGCTTCCAGAGTGTATGACAGCTTCCTGTTTAGGGTATTCTGGCTACGCGTCACTCTCACTCCTTATTTGGTAACGTGTGTGTGTATGTGGAACTTCCCCTCGATTCCATTGGCTCTAACGGTTAAAAAGAGATGTCAATCATCAAAATCGACCAAGGGGGGCCAGAGATAGGTCAAATCGACCCAAATGACCCCAGAAGTGTTTTTTTTTTTGCTAAATCTCTCTAAAAAGGCCACATTTCACTTGTTTTGCATCAATCTTGATACAGGGTACTTATTATATGTTATAGTTTGGATTCCTAAAGCTTTTAGTCTACTATCCCATCATTCAAGGGTGGTTTTCACTATAAGTAATGTTTTTTTTTCAATCTGAATTTACTTTAAAATAAAAAAAAATCTATATTGATTCTGACTCTTCTACATTCTTTTATTTAGGGTTTATCATTGCTTTAAGAAAAAAGATTATTAATTTACCCCTTTTTAGAAGTGAAGTTATGGTCATTTGTTCTGGGAATGTCATTTTCGAGCCTGAGACCTGGAAAACAGGCTCGGGGCTTAACAGGTTAAACTGTATTCTTGTTTATTAATAACAACTTTATTTTGCTGTCATATAGTATTTTATACCTGTTTACTTTATTCTCTTATTTTTTTATAACTATAATGATCATATAAAGATGTGCCTTTACCTCACTGGTTGTAGAAAAAGCTTCTTATATTCGTTAGCATAGCTAGCTAACCAGATGCTAATAACAACAAAGTTATTGACTGTATGATCAGTATGACAGATGAACAGATCGCCACTGGGCTTTCAACTAAAGACACAGCCACGCAAAAACTGCGGCATGTGTACGGCTCCTTATGGGTACTGCCATTTTTGAAGTGCCGGAGCGGCGTTCTGGTGCTCTCCATCAAATCAAATCAAATCAAGGTTTATTTATAGAGCACATTTAAAAGCGATTTTTGGTCGGGCCAAAGTGCTGTACATGTAATAACTACAATCACATAAAAACACATTTCTATAAGCACAATAAATTACAACAGATATTTAAAAAGAAAACACAGGGAAAAGTCAGGAGTCGTGCTCCGCTCTAACTAGAAGGCCAGGGAGAAGAAGTGTGTCTTAAGAGTAGATTTAAAAACCCCTAGGGTCTGGGCCGACCTCACATGGAGGGGCAGAGTGTTCCAGAGTCTCGGGCCAGCTGCTGCGAAGGCTCGGTGCCCTCGGGTTTTGAGCCTGGTCTTGGGCACTATCAGCAACAGCTGGTCAGCAGACCTTAAAGCTCTTGTTGGGGTGTAGCGCTGGAGGAGTTCAGCTATATAGGCCGGAGCCAGCCCATTTAGTGCTTTAAAAACAAATAAAAGGAGTTTAAAATCAATTCGGAACCGAATTGGAAGCCAGTGCAGTGAGGCCAGAATTGGGGTGATGTGGTCACGCTTTTTGTGGCCAGTGAGTAGACGTGCAGCTGCGTTCTGGACTAGCTGCAGGCGTTTAATTGACGCCTGGTCCATACCCACGTACAGAGCGTTGCAGTAGTCCAACCTCGAGGTAACAAAAGCATTAATAACCCTTTCCAGGTCCTCAAATGATAAAAACGACTTAGTCTTGGCCAATAGTCGTATTTAAAAAAAAAAGCAGGTTTTGACTACGCTGCTGACCTGCTTATCGAATTTAAAAGCGCTATTGAAGGTCACTCCAAGGTTCGTGACAGAGGGGAGGATATTATTTTTGAGGGAGCCCAGAATATCAACCTGGGAGGCTAGAGGTTGGGGTCCAAAAGAGATAACCTCAGTCTTGCTCTCATTGAGGTTGAGGAAATTTTGGCTCAGCCAGGATTTGATCTCTGCTAAGCAGTCCATCAATAGCTGTAATGAGTTAACATTTGAATTGAGTGGCAGATAGATCTGTACATCGTCGGCGTAGCAGTGGAAGGGGATGTTGTGTTTTGTGAGAATTGAACCTAGGGGCAGTATGTACAGTAGAAAAAGGATGGGGCCCAAAATCGAGCCTTGGGGAACCCCACAGGTAAGAGGGGCTATGGCTGAGGAGAAGGCACCTAGCTGCACTGAGAAGCTACGGTCTGTCAGGTAGGACCTGAACCATGCAAGGGCAGAGCCTGTGATGCCAGCGGACTGTTCAAGCCGTGACAACAGGATGCTATGGTCCACAGTGTCGAAGGCAGCTGTCAGGTCTAACAGCACCAAGACAGCTGGGCTACCTGAGTCGGCGGCTAGGAGCAGATCATTAAAAACTCTTAAAAGGGCTGTTTCAGTGCTGTGCATGGGTTTGAAGCCAGACTGAAACTTTTCATGGATTCCATGCGTGGTTAAAAAAGACTGCAGCTGGGCGTAGACTACTCGCTCCAGGGCTTTTGATAAAAAAGGTAGCTGGGAGATGGGCCTAAAATTTGCGAGAATGGAAGGGTCGAGATTTTTCTTTTTAAGTAGTGGCTTAACCACGGCATGTTTGAAGGCAGCTGGGACACATCCTGAGCTAAGAGAGGTATTTATAAGTAATAAAATACTTGCACCAACTGATCCTAAAACATCTCTGAGAAGGCGAGAGGGAATGCTGTCTGAGGTGCAGTTTGTCGGCCGCAGGTGCTTGACTACATTCGAGAGAGAAGAGAGGGATACAGGCTCAAAGTGGTCGAGGACAGCAGGGCACAGAAAAGGAGTAGGATCTGGGGTAGCACTAGTGTGGGCTAGCCTAAGAGCAGATACTTTTTCAATAAAAAATGTAAGAAACTTATCACAGAGAGTAGTCGATGGCACAATTGGAGGAACATCACAGGGATTAATGATCGAGTTGAGGACATTAAAAAGAACTTGAGGTTTATGGCTGTTTTTGGAGATTAGCAGAGAAATGTGCTCTGTTTTGGCTGCTTTGACTGCCGTCTGGTAGTCAGAAAGGCAAGCACGAAGGATTTCTAAGGAGACATGGAGTTTATCCTTTTTCCATTTTCTCTCTGCACGCCTGCAGGTGCTTCTAAGAGCGCGAGTACAGTCATTGAGCCACGGCTCTGAGAGAACTTTGGTGCGTCTAAGCGTAAAAGGAGCAACAGAATCCAGTATTAGTGTACATGTCGAGTCAAACATGGAGATAAGCTCATCAGCACTAAAAACACAGTTCACCTCTAATTTACAGATAGGAGAAGCATTAAAAACATCAGAAAACTGTGAGGCAGTCAAGGGGTTAATCGAACGCAGACGACGCGCAGGGGCACGTGATTCGACTCCTGCGGAAGGGATCGAGGTTGTAAACAGAACCGGTAAATGGTCTGAGATACGCGTTGCTGCACATATTTCATCCACAGATACAGTCCAAACGATAACACTAAGTCCAAAGTGTGTCCTTTTTCGTGTGTTGGGCCAGCCACGGACTGAACGAGACCAAAAGAATCAAGGAGATTTAAAAAGTCCCTAACCAGAGGTTTGGACTCGCAACACACATGGACATTGAAGTCTCCGGATATCAAAACACGATCATATTTCACCATGATCCCGGACAGAAAGTCAGAAAAGTCATTTATAAAATCCTTATTGCACTTTGGCGGACAATACACGACTGCGCAGAGTATAGGCGAGGCCGGGTTCAGTTCAAAAAGCTGCAACTCAGCACTACACCCCTGTCAGATGAGACATATACCACGTGATGACACGTTAGGCTCGTGTTGTGTTCAAGGACCCTGACCTTGGCCAGGATAAACAGGCACTCGCTTGTTTAATTCTTTTGCGGTCTAGATTTCTTAAATTTTTTTCTTTTTTGCGTGTGTTTATAAATTACCTCGATGGCCGTACTAAATGGTCTCGCGGTCCGTATACGGCCCGGAGGCTCTAAACAATGATATTACTGCCATTTTCTTTGTACGTCAGAAAAGAAAGAACATTATGAGCTCCATGGTCAGTTTCAAGAGACAGACCAATACATTGGTTTCACATTTGTTCTATCACTATATTGAAATATAGCAAATAACTAAATGTTGGTTTATTGCTGTACAGTAATTCAGCGTTGTTTCTCCTCAGGGTTCACTATGCTGGACTGAATGTGACACGACCAGAGGGAGACATCGGCAAGTACAAGTCCATTCATCACCACCACAGAGGAGAGGTGCAGTTTCTCGGGAGGTAAGACAGATTTATGTCTCAGTCTCAAATTGACTTTAAATGAATGAATGGATACTTAGTTTAAAGCAAATGAGCTTTGTATAGTTCCGTACTGTAAGCCTACCTAAAATTAGGCTTGTGATATTCCTTTTTTCCCTTTTTCTTATTGGCATGAAATCATTTAAAAGCTTGATATTTGTTTGTTTGTAGCCTTTATTTAACTAGGTAAAATCCCATTGAGATCAACGATCTCTTTTTCAAGGGAGACCTGCAGCACATTGGTTACACAGAAAAACAACAGAAAACAAAAAGGACATCATACAACATAATTACAGGGGTACAAATTACAACCTATTCACAATGACAGGTATCAAATAACATTTCATCTATCCGAGCATTAAAATTATGCAGGGAAACCAAAATGCTCAGTTTAAAAAGAAATTGCATAGTGTTCCAAGCTAGAGGAGCAGCGCACATAAAAGCTTTTCTACCTAAAACAGTCCTAGCACTTGGCACATGTAATACAAACACTGACTTGGCCAGGTCAGCATTGAAAATGAGATTTTATCTCAATGCTTTCATCTGGTTAAATAAAGGTTAAATAAAAATAAACATCCTGGGATCTCAGGCAATAGCTACTTGCCTCTCTCTGTGAGATCAAAGAGCATATATAAGTTGGTAGTTTACCCAACATGGCTTTATAGATAAACATGTACCAATGACTGAGCCTCCGTACAGTTAGTGAAGGCAAACTTGCCCTGGCATACAGGGTAATCAAACTCATCAGTGCGTCCCTGTTGCTCGGTCTGACATGTTCCTTAATCAACATGAACACACACGCACACACATAATCCCTACATACTTTGTTTGTGGGATTGAAGGTCAGTCCTGCAGCCACAAATAGAGCACCAAATGCAGGGTTAGACATTAAGGAAGGGCCAGTGGAATTGTATTATCATCACTGGCCCCACCATTGTAACCACTGGCCCAAGAGCATTCATCCAAAAAATCGACTGAAGGAAATGAACACAATTGTTGCAATAGTAATTTATGCACAAACTACATTACTTTGGCGCTTGGCCGGTTACCGCTGGTATTAAAAACATTTTGGCGAATGGTTAAGTGGCGAGAAAGTCTATTTGCGCTCTGCAGCAAACAGCTGTTTGCTTTTCACCCAACAACGACAACCGCCTCACGAAACGCTATGTTGTAGCGTTAATAAACGAAACAATTTAACAAAATTGCTAGTCAAAATACCAATACCACAGGACCATTTTTTTTTTTAAAGCAATATTTTTAGTGGCCCGAGCGGGTAAGTGGAAAGTACGTTATGCTGGCCGGCGTGTCTAAATAGTGCTTCCGGGCCAGCGGGCCATTTATAATGTCGAGCCCTGAAATGTGTATTCATCCACAGAATAAACTAGTTCCCAACCAGTGCACTGTTCTGTCCATTTTGAGTTAGACAAAAAATTACAATAACATCTTTTTTTAAGAAAATAACTTTTTAGTAATGGAGATGCCACATCATGGAAAAACATGGAATTTGATTTATTAATTTCCTGAAAATCTAAGAAAAAGAGAGAACAGAATATTTTCCCATTCTGTTTCATAAAATATACAATTGAGATATTCCAAATGTTTACCTCTGTATGAAAGCTGCAGCTACTTGGCCAACTGTATTTGACACTGTTGACCACAACATATTGCTAGACCGTCTAGAAAACTGGGTGAGAGTTTCAGGAACAGCTCTAAATTGGTTTAGTACCTACTTAAAGGACAGAAAAAACGTTGTCTCAATAGGCAACTACACATCAACTTTGACAAATATGTCATGCGGGGTTCCTCAAGGCTCCATCTTAGGACCTTTGCTTTTTAATATTTATATGCTACCTCTGGCTGAAATTATTAAAAAGAGCGATCTAAGCTATCACATCTATGCAGACGACACCCAGATTTATTTTAAAATCACACCTGGAGACTATTCTCCGATTAGAACACTGAGCAAGTGCATTGAGCACATCACTGACTGGATGACTCAGAACTTTCTCCAACTGAACAAACTGAGATCATTGTTTTTGGAGCAAAGAAGGACCGATTAAAAGTAATCGCAGAGCTTCAGTCGGCAGACTACAAAACCACTAATAAAACCAGAAATCTAGGTGTAGTGATGGACTCAGACCTGAATTTCAACAGCCACATTACAACAGTCATTAGGACTGCATACTATCACCTAAAGAATATATCGAGGATTAAAAAACTAATGTCACAACAGGACTTAGAAAAGCTTGTCGATGCTTTTATTTTCAGTAGACTCGACTACTGCAATAGTGTATTCACAGGGCTGACAAAAAAATCCATCAGAAAGCTGCAGCTGATTCAGAACGCTGCTGCACGTGTCCTCACTAACACTAAAAGAGTGGATCACATCAGTCCGGTTCTGAAATCTTTACATTGGCTTCCAGTCGGCCAAAGAATTGATTTTAAAGTACTATTGCTAGTTTTTAAATCATTACATGGTTTAGGACCAAAGTATATTGTTGAACTATATTGTTTAACACAATTACGAGCCATCAAGGTGCCTCAGGTCTTCTGGGACGGGTCTGCTATCGGTTCCGAGAGTAACAACAAAACATGGAGAGGCAGCATTTAGCTATTATACCCCCCGACACTCTGGAACAAACTACCCAAATCATGCACGTCCGCAGAAACGCTTACCATTTTTAAATCGAGACTAAAAACATATCTCTTTGCCGCTGCTTTTAATTGAGCTGCTCATATTCGAACTACAGTATGCCTTTTAAACATGTATTGTATACCTGTGGTGTTTATTTTTATTATTTTATTATCTTTGCTTTGTAATGCCTGTTGTAAAATGCCATTATATAATGTGTTTTTACTGTATTTATTCATAAAAAGTCTTTTAATTTGTTTTGTAAAGCACTTTGAATTGTCGCGTACAGAAAAGTGCTATATAAATAAACTTGCCTTGCCTTGCCTTGTAGCTAATGGCAGAAAACACCAAAGGGTACATAGTGTCAGTCCGAAGGCTACATGGCATGGTTTAGTTGTTAATGTACACCTTGTGTGTTGCACATATAGTCTGCAGATGGAAGCAGCAGGAGATGCATGACAGGATGCATATTGAGATCTGTGTGTGTGTCTGTCTGTAGGTATAAACTGCTTAGGTATTCCAAAGAGCGGCAACACCTGGACGGCCTCAACAACCTCCACTACAGCCCCCACTTCTCCCTCAGCAGCCTCTACAAGAACATCACAGTGGACCTGGACCCCGAGCTCGCCCCCATCTCAGACTACTGACCTGCCCCAACCAACCCCCAGCTCCCCCCCACCACACTCCAGCTCCCCTCCGGCCTGGCCTCCTGCTCAGCAGCGGAGGGGAGGAGGGGGCTCGGACCCGGGAGGGATGAAGAGGCGCATCATGTAATGCTGCCAAGAAAACTTAGTGAGCGAAAAAAAAATGAAGATCCAAATCGACAAAAAAAGAGGAGAAAACGAAGAGGCAGTGGCAAGTCTCTCAAAGTGAACTGTTGATTGTTTGTGCCAGTGTGTAAGTGTGTGTGCCTGTGTCCGTGTGTGTGTGTGATGGGTGAGTCGCTGCATGTCTTCTCTGTGTCCGTGCCGGCTTCTCTCCTGGAGTGGACATGAGTTGGTACGTTGGAGGGAGCAGCAGCATCTCAGCTCGGTGTTGAGTGCACAGCCTTACTGTGGCAGACCCACAGCTCCCTCTGCTCCGCACTGCTTCACTTCTCATGATCACCGTCACCTTACAAGCCAACAGACAAGTTACGTCTCACTTTCTACTATCTTTTGTTTTTCTACATATCGTTTTGTTTCGGCCGCAGTTTTCCTTTTTTAAAGGAGGGATCTGATCGAGGTCGACATTAATGTTTGTGATGTACATTTTTTTTATTTTGATACGTGGTATTTATTTTCTCTAATTCAGGATGCTCGAAGAAGCACTCCTGTCTGTCTCACTCTAGTGTTCGCTGTTTGTTTTGCTGCACTGCTGCTGAATCCGCATGAACATGTATGTAAATATCGGCCTCTAGAAGCTCGAACACAGAACACAAATATGTAAATATGGGCTTTTAAATGCTCGGGCATATAACAGTGATATTCCAGTGGGTTTGAATTTTATTTTGGCAGCTACCTTTGTTCTAAGGATTTAATAGGAGTGAGTGGTTTCTTCCAAACAGGAAGATCTTCTAACAATATAGGATGTTTGGCTTTAAAAAAAAAAAAAAGTATCCAAATCTTAAGATTTGACCTTATACCTTTTGCATGCCTTCATTTATTTTGTTTACCAGATTTTGTTCTTTTCAAACATAAATTATTTCATCAGTTAGAGATGTGTATATTCTTAATTTTGCCTTTGTTGAGCTTTTTTTCCTTTGAGGTGCACTGTGTGAATAAAGACTGGAGGCCGGGTCCATCAAACAGCACGAGTGTGTCCTGACACACAACGTGCTTTACGGTACTTCCTGGTTTCATGTGAGTGTATATTTTTTGTCTCGGATTTGTTCTTATTTTTTAGACTTTTTTTTATGATTTGTACTTTAGTGATTTAGTGCTGGACCATGTGATAAAGCTTGTCACTGTACTGTACCATGCTGAAGCATGGGTGGGCGGGATGCTGGTGTCAGGCAGAGGGGCCAGAATGAGAGAACCTCAGAGTCAGCGCCGCCGCTGAACCTCCTGCTGTTCTTGAATGGCACACGCTGTGAAAAGTTTAACTTCTTAAAGCTTTGAGCACTATGGAGACGCAGAGAAAAGGAGTCGGCAGATTATTTTTGCCCAGATGTTCACTGTTAGATTCTTCTCCACATCTTAAAGTTTTGACTATGAGTAGTTGTATGTTTGGATTTTGTCCTGAGGTGTGTAAACACAATTCTGGCCATTTCCTGTCCCATGGGACTGTTTGATGTTCTTTATGATGCCTCGCTTATTGTGCCATCGGGTGTTTGTAACACCCTCAGTCCTGCATTTAACTGTGAGACTGATTTAGAGCTTTAGTGAGCAAAGATAGCTGCAGCGACCCCGCCACGTCTACAAAGCAAACCATTAGTATTAAAAACACATTATGAACATTAGCTGTGTGCTTTATGTATCTGTTGGGACATTTTTAAATATGGCTGCTGATGAAGATCATGTGAAGCTCCAGAAGCAACTTAATTGCTTTTGTCCCGAGATAGATTTGATAAAGACAACATACATTTTTGATTGGCAGAAAGTTAATCACAACTTATTTACCAAAATCAATTTGATTAAGTCACTTTTTAAACAGTCCACTCTCTCAAATATAATTGTTTATTATTATTATTATTATTATTATATTAAATTCAATATCTTATGGTTCTGGACTGTGGACAAGCATATTTTAGATGTTATAGAAATTAAATTAAATTGTTGTAGGTCAAACATAAAATAAATGAATGGAGCAAATAATCAGCAGATTAGTTAAGGATGAAAAGAAGGAACTAAGTTTACTGTTTGGCTGTTGTGCCAGGTATGAAATGGCCAGAGTAATGTTTCTCGTTCCCTTTTTATAGTTTTCAAACATTTCGTTTCCACCCTCTACACAAACAACGCAAGGAATTGTGAGAAAGGTATTATTTAAGCCATGGTGACTTCACATGCATCCTACCCATCTCCCAGAAGCCCTTGCAGCAGCGATGGTCACAGCAGCTTTTACATGTTACCAGACGCAGTTGAACCTCAGTAAACAATTTGTGGCCATAGTATTGATTGCAGGTGGACAGGACTACAGAAGAGCGCTCAGTCAGCGTCGGTCTAAAGTGGTGCTAAAGGAGTGCTTTTCCTTTCGTATCTTAGTACCACACTCTTGCATGAGGGAAGGTATAGTCCCTCTTAATGGTCACTAGCCATTCTAAATATGGCAGGAAGATCATGGAGAACACATTATATTCATGGCTCTTGGTCTCTTTAACACCAGAAGCGACAGTAGATAAGTACACAGGCTACCTGTGTTTTACATCACAAAGAGTAAATGTGAGCATGTAGCTTTACATCACGCTGCGTTCCATTCTCCTCATGGATCTGCAATCCAAAACTGGTCCAGATGACAATTTCTGACATGGAAATAATTTGTGTGACATCAGTTTACTGAATAGTCTGTTTATCCTGGCTCTGAAAAGTGTCCGCAGCCCTTTTTATCACATGACTGTCTAAAAGTATGTATACCGTGCAGATGCTGTGTTCACCACGAGACAGCCGTATTCCATTTTGCAGTATTTCTTTGTGCCTTTTTTTCTTTCCTTTTCACTTTACATTCTGAGATTACACATGTTTTGTCCCTTTTTATTTGAATCATATCAAATCAAGAGTGTGAAATCTGTTGAGTCATAGGATGTGATGTGTAATAATCCACTGTGACTGCCAGTGGGACGTGTTCAACTAAAGCTTTGGGCCACATGCACCGAGCTGCAGCTGCAGGGTTCATCTCACTTCCTGTTCTCCAGCAGAATGAACATGAGCGTGTCCTTTGTCATCAAGGCACAACATGCTGAGGCCAATCCACCCACTGCACCTGAAACCTTTTCTAGCCTTCAATCTGCATGGCCTTGCCTACAAATACGTATGTGGACAAAAATGATGTAGATCCCATCTAGTTTCCATGCGCATGCTGACAGCAGGTACACAGCGGCTTCGCTTTACTGAATAGCATGATGTTGTCACATGTCAACGGTGCTGACTCCTCTGCTCAATAATCTGGTTTAAACCAATGTTTGCCATTACTTTCAGCAGTATGACATTGTATCAAAATGTGTTTTTCTTTGACTCACACATCAGTATTGGCTGGTAGATGGAGAACAATGTGAATCTAGAAAGGCATAATCTTAAAGTCATTAGGACACAGGGCTGCTGTTGCACTCCTTGTCCACCAGATAGCGCTGCAAAATATCCTACTTGCACATATCCAGGTTGCAATTATTCAAGGTTCTCTATAAAATATTTATCAAAAAGTGTCCACATTTCAGTTGCCTCCATCTGCAAATGGAGATCGCTCATATCATATGATCATCTGATGTTGGTGTTCTGTTTGAGGCTGCAAACCAGGAACAAGCAAATGTGTTCTTGAAATATCAACATATGTTTAAAGGAATTGGCCAAACATTGGATCTTTGGAATTCATCAAATATCCTTCTGCAGTATTTCTTTCCCAACTGTATATCACCAAATGTGCAAAATCAAAATGTATTCCTGACATTTGGAATTCTTAATAACAGGAGATTCATATACACATTTTAAAGGAAATGTTGAATTTCTCTATATCATTTAGAAAGTGCTGACAGGTGTTTAACTGTAACATGTCAAACTCTTTACATATTTGGTCACCTAAATGTAAGGGATCCATAATGTTGGTGTAAAATGAATATTGGTCGATGAGTTATTGTATAGATATCAGTATTTCCTTCTAATTCCAGTATTAGCCTTGCTCTGAGTAACTAAGAAGACCATAAGGTGAGGCTGAAAGCCCCGGAACATTTCAAGTTGACCTTGTGCTGAGAAATGTTTTGTCAAACTGCTGCTTTGTCTTTATTGAACCCTCAAACTTAATCATATGGTTGGAAAAACAACTGAAACTGTAGTAATTGCCCCAACCCCCTCCCGAATACTTTGGGAGCCTGTTAACATGATAATGTAGCACCCCCCCCCAAACCGCTGAACTTCTTAACATGTTGAAGTTCGCCCCATTGTCAGATTTCTGCAGTCTTTGGTAACAGACAGTATACAAATAGTTTGAGTCTAGTGTTGAATTGTTACTTTGTAAAGTTTTTTTCTTTGTCAAAAAAAAAGACATATTAAACACTTCATTGCCATATTCTGGAAAACAGACCTGATATTTGTCTTTCTTTTCACGTGATAATCCCAGGCTTCCATGATGTTACATGTGTTAAAAGCAGGGGTGTAATGTAAAAATGACATTTACTTGCAGTGGTATGAAGTATATTTACTCAAGTACTGTACTTAAAGGTGGGGTAGGTAATTTTGGAGAAACCAGCTCGAGTGCGCTAGAATTTGAAAATACACAACCGGAAAAAATCTGCCACTTCCTTACAGAGCCCCCCCTCCAACACACACGAACGCGCACATGACCAATGAGGGCACGAGATAAGTTTGTGCACAGATGGAAGGCTGACAGGCAGGTAGGCCATCCAGTTATTTTACCCGGGCCGGCTAAAATGATTGGTCGTGCTTTTTACAGCGCTACGGCTTCCACAGATGACATTTTTTTATGTATTTATTGTCAAAGCATTTAATATATTCATTGCTATCGGGATGTTAAGAGCATTCCATGGAATATAACTGAAATAAATGACATACCCCACCTTTAAGTAAACATGTTTGATACTTGTACTTTACTTGAGTATTTCCATGTAATGCTACCTTATACTTCTACTGCACTATACAATTCAGAGGTAAATGGTGTACTTTTACTCCACTACATTTGATTAATACCTGTCGTGGCTTCCTTCCTTGTCTTTCTATCAAGCCACTAGACGCCTTAAACCAGGGGTGTCAAACTCAAGGCCCGGGGGCCAAATCCGGCCCGTGACTTCATTTTATGTGGCCCCGCAAGAGCTTGCAAAGAATATAATACGTTTATTATACGGTTACATGCCGATTTACAGAAGCAGGTTGCCCATAAACTACATGTCCCACAATGCATCTTGTTTTGTGACATGCACACTGAAGAGACTTGCAATTATTTGCCCTGGACTTCTGCTTTCAGACGTAGTTAATTACTAAGTTATTATCCTATCCGATAATAATCCAATTCAGAGGCAATAATGTAATATAATACATTATTTTATATATATATTATATATTTATATAGTTACAACCGGCCCTTTGAGTGCAACCTTTATGCGAATGTGGCCCGCAATGAAATTTAGTTTGACACCCCTGCCTTAAACAGACAGTTCTAACTCGTTTCTTTCCTTTAAATGACTCACAGTTTGAAGAGTTGCTTGGCCTCCGATGGTTTAGATGATGTTGCGATGTGTTTGCTCAAAATAAAATAACAAACTTTTGCACATGCAACAAAGAAAATAGGCCTTTACAATATTCAAAAGAAATGAGCAAAAACTCAAATAAAATAATAAACAACTTAGGTATTCTTTCTTTCTTAATAATGCTTATATAACTTCATAACTTAAAGGGTACTTGTACGATGTGTATGTGTACGTGTAGTACGGTTAAAAACTGTTCCTCGACGGCGTCTCTCAACAGGTTGCCCATCACTGTGGCTTTAGCGCAGGCGTCGTGGGAATTGTAGTCCTTTATAGTGCGTTGACTACAGACATCACAATTAGGTGGCCTTTCTTATCAAATCAAAAATACTGGCTCTAACAATACCTTTAGTTACTTTACAGATGTGGATGAATGATGTGAAATATAATCAAGTGTTAAATCAGACTTTAGTTCCACCTGGAGTAAATTCACAAGCTACCCTGCAGTATACAAAGTCATTCAAACTAGCTGCACCTTTACCAGCTTTGAGAACACTTTCATGATCAATCATTATAAAACATATCATATATAGTATTCTGAAATGGTCCAATCTGCATAACGACTACTTCTACTTTTGGTACTTTAAGTATGTTTTGATGCCAATCCTTTTGTACTTTTACTTGAGTAACCTTTTGAATGCAGGACTTTTACTGTAACAGAGTATTCCTACACTCTGAAACTTCTACTTTTACTTAAGTACAGGATCTGAGTACTTCTCCCACCTCTGTTTACTTGTCTATTTTGGGGTATTTGTACGTGTGGAAGAACCAAACACAGCCACAACAGCCTCTCCTCCTCATGCTGTCACCTGCCTGCTCAAACTCTGCTGTGGGATGGCATCCCATTCTTCATTTGTCCCAAGTCAGCCAACGTGGTTGTGTTGGTCACTCTGGCACGGACAGCTCGCCCAAGCTGATCCCAAAATGGGGTTCAATGGGGTTGAGGTCAAGACTGCAGGCAGGCCATCCTCTCCACTCCTACTCTGTCGGTGCAGCAATGAGCAAAGCCTTCTCTGCGTCTTCTCCACACTGTGACCCTACCATCCATGTGCTGTAGGCAGAATCTGGACTCATTGCTGAACATAATGTTCCTCCACATGTTGAGGTTCCAGTGCTCTGAACATAATGTTCCTCCACATGTTGAGGTTCCAGTGCTCTGAACATAATGTTCCTCCACATGTTGAGGTTCCAGTGCTCTGAACATAATGTTCCTCCACATGTTGAGGTTCCAGTCATGGCAGGCCACCTGGCAGCCGTACGAGACCAGAGAGTGGCTGCTGTTTGGCATTGACAGAGGAGATTTGTCACATTTTTCATGGGCGCACCCCACATACTCAGTTCTGCTGCTCATCCCACAAATGCTTGTTCCTCACAAATGTGACACCATTTGAAAGGTAAGAAAACAGGCTTTCCAACAGTATAAGATGTATTGCCAAGAAGCATTGTTACAACATAGTCAAATCACCTACCAAACACAAATTGCCTAACTTTTTGTGTTAAGTTTATAATAAAAAATGTTTTACTATGACCTTTTACTTGATATTTTCAAGCCACCACACAGTTTTTTATGATCTATTCGACATACTGTACTATGACCTTTTTTAACATACTATATTTAGACATACTATACCATGTCGTTTTTTCTGTTTTATGTCGAAATACTATTCTGTCTTCTTTTCATATTTTCAACTGTCGTTTTTTCGCCAACCAAGTTTTTTTTGTGCATATTGTTGATGTACTGAACTTTGTCGTTTTTTCTGTTATTTTCGATGTAGGCTACTATCCTATGTGGGTTTTTTTGCATATTTTTGACATAATAATACTATGACGTTTTGTTTTTTTAAATCGACATACTATAATACAACTTACTTTTGGATTTTTTCAACATACTATACAACATAGGTTGTTTTTCAGAGATTTTCGACATACTAAACTATATATTTTTATTGCATTACTTCGACATATTATATTGCATATTGGTATTGCATTTTTATTTTATATGCAATGTCAGGTTTTTTCACCATTCATCTTGACATATTATACCATAAAGGTTTTCTGAAATTGTCAACATACTAGATGTAATATTTTTCAAAATACTATGACACTTTCTGATACTTTCATCACGCAATACTTTATACTGGTATTATGTATTATGTAGAAATCATATTTAAATCTAAAACCATTTCTTAACTATTTATTTCAATTAAGTATGAAATATAAAAATCATTTCAAAGAGTCATAGTTTACAGTAAAATAGCATACAGTGTGGACAGCATAATACAGTGGGGAAATAGGCGACTTGAGGACAGTTGCTGGGTGTGGGCTTCACATTACGAGTATTCACAAACAGTCTCACCACAGACATATAACTTTGATTCGCACATTGGAAATATGAGTACACTAAAGTCAAATGATATGACTGTATGCAAATAAAGGAATACAAATTTAGATTTTTCTAAAAATTAAAACCAATAAGGTTTTAGTTTAATAATGGTAAAATGAATGAATGGAATAATCAATTAGTAAAATTCTCAATAGCTGCAGTCCTAGGTAAACGTTTCCCACATTGTCTGTCTTTCCTGAAAACACAACTGTAAATCTGCTGTGTCTTTAAAAAAACTGCCAGTCGAGTAAATGGAGCTTCCTGATCACAAGTTATTAGGCTAAGTATCCCCAGCTTCTGGTGCTAGCTAGCTATGCTAATGGATATGAGAAACTGTTTCTACAGGAAGGTGGAGGAGAGTCCTCTCCTGTCAGACTGAGAGGCTCAGATAACTACAGCTCAGTGAGGTAAAGGACTCTGAGGGTTTCGATGGTTCACTTTAGTCTAAGTTATCTCAGTGGTTCTAAAACATTTTGGTCACCATTTATGTGAACAAGTATTTCCAAGGCTCACCTTTATAATTATTATAGCTATAAAAAATCATTAATAACGTTCTGGCACAATTTCAATTTATACTATAGGACAGTAAAATAAAAATACAGTCTAAAAGGGGAGTGATTCGTAAGATTATATAAATAAAAAATGTTTAACTAGGTAAAATAAGATAAGATAAACTTTAAAACATGACTACACACTGTAACCACAGGGGGGCCAGATGGCACCATGGGTCCTCCCAACATCTTGCACCAGAGCTCTGCACCACGCTGGAGACGAGCTCCTCACCCACTTCCCCACCTTCTTCAGGCGCTGGCCTCGAGTCTTCCAGGATGAGACGGAGAACACAGCCTGCCCCACGCTCTTGAGCTTCCTGGACGAGCACTTCTTCGCCCCGGTGCCTTGGGGGAGGCGCAGGTAGCGGGCCAGGAGCGCAGTGCTGTCAGTGTATGTGCTGGCTGGCCAGATGGCTCTACATTGCCATGAAAGGGACATGGTGGTGGTCCTGCCTCAGCTGCAGGAGTGTGTGGGGGCGTATTTGGAGAGAGACGTCTGCCCTGAGATAGGAGATGGCGGAGGATGGGTAAGATCAAACAAGCATACTCTTTTAACGTCTTGTAGGGTTGTATGAGGTACTTACATACTGCTGTTGATGGGGGCAGCAGCAAAACGTATCATATCCATTTGCGGGTACACTACATTTCTGGTACTTTTCTATATCGCTGGTCTACCACTGCCTCCATCCATACCAAGTTGTTTTGGTGGCTCAACTACATTTCGCTGCACCTGTTCCCATCACATAGCTTCCATGCAGTGGTGGCTTGACAGGCATCCACTTCAGACAATCGTAAGTATTCCTTTAAGGATCACTGCAATGATTAAGTATTGAACCTCTATTTATATCAGGAACATGTGATAGACATATTTAATGGTTAACTTTCA